TAAATCCCTTGCAAGAAGTCAAATTTCATCTGGTCATTGAAGTGAGTATTATTGGAAGAAAAAGTTCCTTTTTTTGTGTGGAAAATTCCTTCTTCTTTATGGGATTTTGATGGGTTTTGTTTGATAGCAGGATGGGTAGGGTAAAGTTGAAGATAAAAAGACTTGAGAGCACAACCAACAGGCAAGTTACATTCTCGAAGAGAAGAAATGGGATAATGAAGAAAGCCAAAGAGTTATCGATTTTGTGTGATATTGATATTGTCCTTCTTATGTTTTCTCCTACCGGAAAGCCTGCCGTTTTCCATGGAGAACACAGGTCAAAGATCTATATCCATTCTCATGTTCAATTTTGTGTTTCAATGCAACATATTATCTCCATTTTTTTAATGAATTGTCTCGTCTTCTCAATACCCTTCTATAAGAAAAATAAAAAAAAAGTCTTTTATCTTGTTCATATAGCTTTCTTTGGTTTAGGAACTCGTAAAGTTGGTGTACGGATTTAGCTGGGATGGTGAGAGTTATAGACTCTAGAATGTGTGATTGATGAATAATAAGAAATAGTTTGGTTAGTTTGGGAGCATTTTGGCTTTGGGAGAGATTTTCTTGTACTTTCCTTTCGGTTATCGATTCTCGGATATTTGTTCTTCGTTGTTCTCCTTTGTGTAATAAAGAGTGATTTGGCACTCCTGAATTCTACCAGAGAGATGATGTATTGAGAGAATCTATTTTCAAGTTTTCTGCAATTAACTGATTTTGGGGTTTTTGCAGCATTGAAGAGGTTATTTCCAAGCTTGCGCAATTAACTCCACAAGAAAGGACAAAAAGGTATGGTAAGCATTATGCTAAATGTATGGATTACTATCAATCCTTTCATGTGATTTGTGTTATGAAACTAAACTAAGTGTCTTTTTTTTTTATATAACAAAACAGGAAATTGGAGAGCCTTGAAGTAAAGAAAAACAAAACTCATTGGATCTTTTCCTTTCTTTAGGCTCTTTTCTCATCAACTTTATTTTTTTGTTTGGACACAAATTTTGAGCTGATTTTTTTTTCACTCGATTACAGGCATTGAAGAAGACTTTTAAGAAGCTGGATCATGATGTAAATATACATGAGTTTTTAGGAGCAAGGTATTTGCCATGAGTTCTTATACTTATTAACCACATTTTTTTTGATTGTAAACCATTGAGATATCTGAGATGTTGTCTTTCTCTACCCTGCAGGAATCAAACTATTGAGGTATGGACCGATTAAGTTTTCTTGGATACTTTTTAATCTCTCCGAGTCAAATTGCTAAAGTCTTTGTTGCCTTTACCACACGACAGGGTCTAAGTAACCAAGTAGCGATGTTCCAAGCTCAGCTTATGGAGTGTCATAGGAGGTTAAGGTGTGAAAAATTTATAGTTTTCTTGAGTTATAATGTTTTGCTTCTTGAAATCTAGTTTCAATCATATTTGAGTCTTTTTCTTCTGGTTTGCTGTTTTCAGTTGTTGGACGAACATCGATAGGATAGAAAACACTGAGCACCTCAATTTATTGGAAGAATCATTGAGGAAATCCATTGAAAGAATCCAGATTCACAAGGTGTGTTATTATCACTGTTTTCCTTGTAACTCAATCATATATAGACCCAAGATTCAGGATTTTATTTCAGTTTCCTCAGTCCATATGACTTTTACTTACGAAAGACGGTTTCCTTCATTTTGCAGGAACATTTCACAAAGAACCAGCTTTTGCCAATAGAATGTGCAACAACACAGGTTAAGTACAACCATTTGTTCCCTTTTTTTTAATCTTTCTGTCTCTCTTCAGAACAATATCTTAACCAGACCAAAGCCTTTGAACTGCAGTTTCACAGCGGGATACAGTTGCCTTTGGTGATGGGAGCTAACAATAGTATGCAAGAAGCTCACTCGATGTCTTGGCTTCCTGATAACGATAACCAGCAAACAGTCTTACCTGGTGATTCCAGTTTTCTTCCTCATAGGTAAAGAACCCCGTCGCAATCTTGAATAAACTTTTTCACTTTGAAAATGCTCTCTCTCTCAGTCATACTCTACTGATTTTAAACAGAGATATGGATGGTTCGATTCCTGTTTACTCAAGCTGCTTCTTTGAGTCTACAAAACCAGAAGATCAGATATGCAGCAACTCAGGACAACAATTTGAGCACTTAGAACAACAAGGAAACGGTTGTTTGGGTTTACAACAACTTGGAGAGCAATATCCGTATCCGACACAGTTTGGTACTAGTTTGGTAATGGAAGAAGATCAAGAGAAGAAGATAGAACCTGAAATGGAATTGAACAACTTGCAACAACAACAAGATCCTTCAATGTATGATCCAACTGCTAATAATAATGGTGGATGCTTTCAAATTCCTCATGAGCAATCCATGTTTGCCACTG